CAGCAGCTGACTTGGGGACGCTTGGGGTTCTTAAGTTGAATCTGTATGTAAGTCAGAACTGCTGGTCAGTTTCAGCAGCGGCTGAATCTGGATGCCAGTTCCGACTTACATGCAGATTCAACTTAAGAACAAACCTACAGTCCCTATCTTGTACGTAACCCGGGGACTGCCTGTACTGGCCCCCACACACTAGAGGAGAAAATAGCATTATCTAGAGAGGATGAGGCTGCGTCTAGATTGGCACTGACACTTTTCCGGAAAAGCACTTTTTGTGGAAAAGCGTCCGTGGCCAATCTAGATGCGCTTTTCCGCAAAAAAACACCGATCGCCAATTTCGCGATCGGGGCTTTTTTGCGGAAAACAAATCTGAGCTGTCTACACTGGCCCTTTTGCGCAAAAGCTTTGCGCAAAAGGGACTTTTGCCTGAACGGGAGCAGAATAGTATTTCTGTAAGAAGCACTGATTTCTTACAGTAGGAAGTCAGTGCTTTTGTGGAAATTCAAGCAGCCAGTGTAGACAGCTCAGATTTGTTTTCCGCAAAAAAGCCCCGATCGCGAAATTGGCGATCGGTGTTTTTTTGCGGAAAAGCGCATCTAGATTGGCCACGGACGCTTTTCCACAAAAAGTGCTTTTCCGGAAAAGTGGCTGATTTGTATGACAAAACCTTGAGCAAAAGATCCTTCAAGAAGCTTATTTTTTTTTTTTTTTTTTTTTTAAGTATTTCATGTAAATATTTTATTTACATTTTCACAAACTTAAAACAATATACTTCTGGACAGAACAAACTGAACTATATCTTTAAAAAGAAACTTCAGTTTACACATCCAACAACTGATGGAAAATGTGTAAGTGATGCAGGGTGTTTGCCATTATTTAAAGTGTGGGAGAGACTGGAAGTATCAAACCTTGGCAGTGGGGCACTTACCCCACAATCATCTTATTAGTTGATGGGTATGAAAGAATATGCAGTACTTTCACATAGAACTTTTCATCCAAGAGATTCCGAGTTTCACATATTTTATTAGGATAAATCTTGGAACACCTCTTGTGAGCATAGGTACTTATCACTACTGATTGGTAAACTCTGTGTGGAGAAGTCAGGTTATTATTACTCATCCGTTGTTTTTCTGAGAATTGTTTTTTGTTTTAGATTTTCAGAAAGCTCCAGAGTTGCAAAACAAGTTCTACCGGATTTTGACATTGTAATTGTACTGGGATTGTTATGATTTATGAACTCCTTTTTTTACATTGCTTAAAGTCAAAGCCCATACAACTGAAATCTAAAGCTTTAGATCCTATAGTAAGGCTGCATATTCAGAATATTTGGCACATCTTGTTTTCAGGTATCACTTTAGTGGGTGATGGGCAATTGCACCAAATGTTGCAGTTAATGGATATGCTGCCTTCTAAAATGAGCTTTAGCAGTCCATTCTTGTAACATACTGGTTTGACAAGTATTGAATAACTCTTGTTACAATCAAGGATACTTGTTTCTTCAGCCAAAAGGTGTGAAAATCGTATTCAAAAGGGGAACAGATAGTAACAGCAAGGGAAGATGAAGTAAACAAGTTCACTTAAAACCAACATGTTTGAACTAGTTTTTAAATGAAGTGGTAGTATATTTTTGCACTCGTAATGTTTCAGCAGTTTATGGGATGACTGTAACCTAAATACATTTAGGTATGTTTCTCATGGACTCACAGTTTTGGTGAGGCTATGATTAGACTGACCTTTTTGCATAGTTTTTGTTATCAATAATAACAATTAATTGCACCTTATATCCCATACCTGTATATCTGACTTTCTTAAAGGCTATAAAAGCAAAACTGGTGCTTTATTGCAAGTCCCAGAATTTAAAAAAATATGAGATTAGGTCCTGTGTATGGAACAACATGGAAAAGCTCTATCTATATGTATATTTCAGAGTGCTTCTGTCTGTGAGTCCATTTGTTTAAGAACTCCTCCTAAACAGTAAGAGCTAGGTGCCACCAAATTTGGTATGCAACTTCCTCTTCCACTAACTTAAAGCTAGGGCAGGGTTTGGTTGTGCCAGGACTGGAAGCCCTGGGAAAAGGACAGTTTTCTTGAACATGCAAAGGGTGCAGCAAGCCTGCTGGGGAGAGCTATCCTACAGAGCTCACTGGTGAGAGCTGTACCACCAAGGGAGTGACCAGCAGGGCTGGGACTCTGCCATCTTTTCTGCCAGCATACCGGTACGTAGCACCCCTGCCCAAAACCTTTCCCCCTTTTCCAGACCTTGGCCACAACACTGGGTGGGGGTGGTAGGGAGACCCCGGCAAACTGGGGGAGCTTGGGGAGGAGACAATGGGCTCCTGGCAAGCTGGGGGCAGGAGGGGGGGACCTGAACAGGTAGAGAACAGACCCTGGTGACCGGGGGGAGCTGGAGGAGAGGCATAGGCCCCTGTCAGCCTGGGGTGGGACCTAAAGGCCCCAAGCAGCCTCAGCGAGGGCTAGAGGGGGAAACAACAGAGACAACAGGCTCCTGGCTGGGGTTTGTGGGGAGAGACAACAAGCCATGGGAGGGTTGGGGGAGGTCTGGGGGAAAGAGAAGGCCTCTGGTGGCCACGGGCGGAGAGACAGAACACCCTCGGCATCCATGAGGGAGAATGTGGGGGGAGAGAGAGAGACAGAAGGCCCTTGGTTGGGGGAGGAGAGAAGGCCCATGGTGGCCTCCCGGATGTTATCCCTGAGCCCCTCCTCATCCCTTAACCCGCACTCTCTCACCCCTCTACACTCATGGCCTTCTGCCCTGTCCTTCAACCCATCTCCAAGGCCCTGTCCTGATTTCTGCACCCCACACCCACCACCAGCCCTGAAGGACCTGGGCAGTTCTGGGTAAGTCTTCTAGTAATTAATGTTGGAAGATAATCAGAGTTCATATTCTCTTCTTTAGGATTATATTGGGGTTCCTCTTACTATGTCTCTCTCTATATATACATATAAAAAACCTTTTCCTGCGGGGTGACAGAGTGACATCATTCTCCCTTTTCCACAGTAGCATGCGTGTTTCCCTGCAAGCCGAATCTGGCGCAGAGTCTCGGGATTTGCTCCTCTTCTCCTTTCCCTTGTAGGGTGCTGTCACTGTAATCTTGCTGAGAGGCTGTGGATGGCTGTGGCCTCAAGGTGGGGGGAGAGGCTGGGGTTGGCTGTGGCTGGAGACAGGTGGGGGGGGGGCGAGAGGATGGGGGGGAATCC